CATAAAATTGAATAGAAATACATGGAATACACTGTGGAAAAAATATTAATATTTAGCGAACTACACACTTCAATACAAAACAATTTACAATTGCAATTTATACCAATTGTATTCCAGGTACTCTATATTTGCTACTTTTGCAAAGAAATTTTGCTTTTCTCCTTTTGTTTGCTATCTTTGGTGCTGCAGAATTTATTTTTTTTTTTAATTTTCACAAAAATGTATTATTTTCTTGTATATCTTTCAAGTATATATATATATATATTGTACTGCATGTATACCTGCATTCTGCTCAAAAAAATTTTTAGTGTTCAGAATTGACCTAATTCTAGTACTGTTGAATTACACAGAAACAGTCTTAGCCAGCTAGGAGCAAGGTTAGATGATCTTTGATGAGTTGTTTTATCAGTGAAATCCACGTTAAAATCAATGGTGGTTTTATTTTGTTTTGTCCAGCTTTTGATAACTATAATTTTGTGTGATTTATTTTTTTTCTCTGAGATAATTACTTTGTTCATGGACTAATATTTTGTTAAATTGGAGGATCTTTTACTGTACACACACTTGCTACAATCTGTGAAAGTCTTTTGGACACCCAGTGCAGAGTCCTTATATCTAGAAATAGAGCTAATTCAATTAAATCATAAATACAGCAACTGTAGAGATTATTAGGAGCATCAAGTAAAAGAAGTGAGGTAGTGTTGGATGTGTGGGAGGACAGCAAGGATGGAAGTTGGACAGGTGGTCATGCAGATTGTATTAAAATATTTCCTGTGCTATGAAAAATGTATTGTGCCCTTGCCTTAAAGAATTAACCTTTATATATGTGTGTGTGTGTGTGTGTCTTTGTTCATGTGGGATGCAGACAAGTCAGGAAAATGTTAAAGTTGAATGAACTACCCACAGGGTAAGCTGTTGTGAACTTTTTAAAAAACTGCTAATTAAAGGATGTTTTCTGCTTTTTCAACAAGTGAACAAGTGTCCCTTTATAGAGGTACATAGTGCATTGCGAGGAGTTAGAGTAACCCAACAATCTGTATCTTGTCTTCATGAGCATCCTTGTCCTCATTGCCATTCAGTTTAATCATCCAGTTTTCTCAGGGATGTGCTTTCTGGAAATCTGTTTTGTCTCTTTAAATTATTAATGTCATTAAAATTTATAATTTTCTGTCATTACCTCTAGGAAAATAGAGACTGTAATGTGAAACATAATTGTCTCATTTTGCAATTTGTGCTATGATAGTTGAGCACAACTAGAGCAGATTTAAATATTCCCCTGAGCAATAGGTATTACAAACTAACTGAAGTTCTTTGTATGCAGATAAATAAACGGATAAATAAATTTCCCACATGACCAATATTTGTGTGCAAATAAATGGATAAATTAATGCCACAAATTCTTGAAGAGTAAATTTTGCCATTAATATGCCACATGAACAGAAAATACAGTGTTTAAACAAATACTCTTTCAGTGTTGAGTCATGTGGTGATATCTGCTACTAGCCTGGGTAAATAGTCAGTCTTACACATCTGCCTCCCAGAATATTAAAGTGCTCCCTGAAATATTTGGAATAGCCAAATTCTTTCCCTTAGTAAAGGAAAATCCAGTATAAGAGCACTTAGATAAGAGAACTTCTTTTATCTCTGGGTAAAATGCTCTCCCTCCATTCTCATTCAAGAATTTCAGTATTTACAGGCTGGAGTGCAAACTGCTATCGAAGGTGCCAAGCAATAGATAGGCTCTTTACCTTTCCTTAAAGCATATTACTGAAAACAAGCAGAAGCCACCATCTATATTAAGTAGATTTTACCCCATGTTACAACCTCATGCGATCACGAAATCCAAAAAGCGGGCATGTGATATGGAATATTGCCAGAAGCACTTGCCTGGCCAAACCAGCTGATAAGTTCTACTTAGAATACAGCATTCACACATGGCATGAATGGTAATTACTGTGTGCTGTCTTGTGCTGTGTAATGATCCAAGAACAAGAATGGAAATTTGGGATACATTTGTTTGAAAAAAAAACCCTGTAGGACCAAATTAAATTATTTGCTTAGTTGTCAGTTTCACAGTGTAAAGAAAATTTTCATATCATGTACAGGAAAGAAAACGCATTACTTTTAAACAAATAATGAGATTAATAGACTTTCATTGTAAGATCAGTGTCAGATGTTTTTTTCCCTGTGACTCCAAGACTTAGAATTATTTTTATGATCTATGCTGTTATTCTGTTGGGTGTAAAAGTAAGAGCCAATACCACATACACTTGTTTTTCTTTTTTTGACTTTTTTGGGGGGGACTTTTTTCCTCCCCCTTCCCACCCATATTTATCACAGTTGGAGCACAGGTGACCTTTCTGCGTGTGACATTTAAGTTTTCACGTGCTGCCAAGCCAGGACTGTGAGCTTTCTGTCAGGAGCCTGCAGGGCCTGCCCGTGCCAGGCAAGAGGAAGGGGTGCAGTCCCCTGGTCCGGCAGCTCCAGTTCAGGGTGGTGGTGACGGGCTCTCCCCTGCAGTTCAGGCACTTGCCCGTGCTTTCCTGCGCCTGGACCAGCCCAAGGTGCCCTGTGAGGCTGCCCGAGGCTCTACTGCCCTGTGAACTGGCATAGAAAGGCCCACCATTACCTTCAGCTTTTAGAGCACCAGCTCAGAAATTCAGACATAGACCTTTCATTTCCAGCTCTTCCAACAACAACATTTTTTTTCTACGCTTTTACATTTCTGAAAAGGAACCCAGTTTCTAAAAGGAATGGATCACTTGCTGGTATGGATGTCCATCAGCTCAAAAAATACAAGAGCTTTGTTCCTCTTGGCATTATGTACTGAACCGAGGCATTAAAGGATTTAGCTAGTGTCAGCTGTTCTCACAGAAAAGGATGGCATTTTCAGAGTCAGATTTAGCCTAATTTAGGTTTTGAATTTCCCTCTAGAGGCTCCCTGTTTTCTTCTTTGGCTGTATGGTAACAAGGCTTTTACAATTTGGTACCTATAGCTATATGGGAAGAACCTGGATTAATGCGTCTAACATAACTGATCTCCCCTACTATCTTACTTCTGGAAATCCCATGGAGGAAGCAGATCTGGTCTGCTACGCACAGGCTAATGTGTCTCACATCAAGCATTTTGACACAGAGTATGAGACATCTTTGAAAGGCTGTGCATCACTTAGGAGGACACAAAATATCTGTGGTGTGAGCTTTGGATGATTCATGATCTTTTTATTTTTTTTTTTTTTCCTGTTTCCATCTACTCAGTCTGACTTTGCCTGACAAGGGATGCAGCCTAGGGGGTTATGTATTAAAGCTATCACATAGAATTGTCGCTCCCTCAGACCACAGCTTAGATACATTGTGTGCCTTTAGCACCCCTCAGTCCCACGAAAGAGAAACCCATGGCAGCAGTCTGGAGGGATCTGTAGAGATTGTGGGTCTCCTTTGCTGCCTGCCCACAAGGCTACAGGTGCCACCCAACATTTTTCTATTAAGCTTCAAAATCTTTGGCTTCTTTAAGAATGTGTTTATTTTCTGTTTTCACACCACACCAGTTGGTCTGTTGTTAATATAATGAATTTCACCTTCTGCAAAGTTAAAAATTCATGTTCCTAAAAAATGATGGGAAATCGGCAAAGAAGAACTAAATTGAGCCAAAGCTACAGTACTAGTCAACCGTAACAAGTAATTATAATAACCTCATGGTCATTTCACTCACAGCTTGACAGAGAAAATGGGAAGAAAACAAAATATTTTATTTTCTTGAATGTTAAAAGTATGGGGCCAGGTTCACTTCTGCTGATGACGTATCACGAGGTGCAGGCCCTGTTGACCAAGTAAGCACAGCAGCATGAATTATCTGCAGTCCCTCCCCTACCCTGCAAGGGGCTGAGGGCAGCCCTGTGCAGACTGCACAATGGGATGTCCCAGCTGTGCTGTGGGTGCAGCCCACGAGTGCTGGAGATGGGCTGGTGTGACTTGCAGATGCTGCTGGTGGCAGTGGTAAGGAGCTGGGATGTAAATCTGCTCCCTGCAGGGGAGGCGCCGGGGGGAATGAACGCAGTCAGCGGTGCCCCTGCCTGTCCTTCCTCACAGTGGACGCCTGGCAGGAAATAACCATCACAAGCTGTACCGCTGTGATGATTTCAGGATCAGCTAAGCCCCTGATTTTTGAACTATTTATCCTGGGGTGAAAAAAGAGGTTTTGGTTTTGCGGATTTTTTAAGATACAAAATACATAAAGCATGTAGTTGACTTGGCTTCAGTTGCAATATAAGGGCGGTAGATGCAGGCTCTCTCCCAGGATGGATTAGGAGGCTGGGACATGGGAAGGTCTGCAAAGAAGCTTTAAACTGTAAAGCCTGGAAAGAAGAGCAGCTTGTCCTTGAGATTGGCTTATATCTCATCCCAAATTATTCTGTGTGCAGAAACTTGCATTACTAAATGTGTCAATAGCTTCCATGAAGTTTCTTCTATTTTTTATTTCCTAACCTCAAAAGACTTCCTTGGGTCATTATCAGGATTAGTCTGCAGAAGTGATGTATTGTTCTTACGGGAAAAGTGCTTTCTTGTAATGTTGTTCTCAGGTGTAAGGGCCACATTTCCTAAAGATGGTTACATTTTCCACTTGTTTTGTTTTCCACTATTCTGTTAAACCAAAATTCTTTGTATATAAATTTGGTTTGAAGGCTCTTGCTTTTTACTTAGAAATCTATTGAGACCATCTTGGTGCTTTTCTATGAGGAACTACCTCTGCAGTATGCTAGTATTGACAAGACAGATGGTACTGTGTCAAGCTGTTTTCTTTTGTTTTGAGATAATGCATAAAAAAATACCATTGTCGTTATTAAACACAAAATAAGAACATTTGGCCTAGACTAAGCGTGTGCACCTATACATTTTTTTTCTCCTATTTTCTTTTTAAAAATATTTATCCAATAATGAAAGGAATATATACAATGTCTGGACAAATATATGTTTTTAAAAAACTGTGTCTCCATTCACAGGAAATCACTGATAATGAAATATTAGAGTTGGTACATAGTGCTCTGGGGAGGATGACAGTTATCCGGCAAATTTTCCCTCTGTCAAGGGACAACAATCAGAGATGCATGAGGAACAATCACCGAATATCATCACTGCTGTGCGATCCACAAGAAGGCTATCTTCAGATGCTGCAGGTCAGTAGCAGTGCCCAGCAGAAAAGTCCATCATAGGAATTTGACATGAGAGAGTTTTCTGTGACTGTATTACCTCAGAGGAAGAATAAAATGAGTACAGATACATCTGAGCATGTAATGTTGGTCAGCTTTCCCTGACTGATTTATTTATTTTATTTCCCAGGACCGGGTGCTTTAGACGTGATGCTATGTCCATAAAGTACCAGCAAGTGGTTGCACTAATTCAGAGCTGATTTTGCATATTTCATTCTCTTAAGAATATTTTTATATTTGAAAAAAAGAAAAAGTTGTGCTATCATAGTCTTGCAGTGTTACTGCTTGCTTATATTTGTGCCTATGAGACACCTGTTGTGAAAGAGTTAATCTGGGGGGAGAATAGAACTCTGATAGGTATTGGGCTATGGAACATTTCATATTTAGTTAAATGGACTGAATCCAGCTGATGTATTCAATCTGTCCCATTTCAATAGTCTCAGAAGTCTCTAGCAGCTGATAATTGTCCGAGTGTGTGAAATATGCACTACTAGTTCAAGTTGTAGATTTTGGTAACAGATTTGTCTCTGGTGTAAGCAGCATCTCAAGATTTCTTGACGATTTATCCCAGATATCAGAATTTTTCTTGCAGTATTTTAAATATATTTTTAGGTGCTTATTTCCAAGGATATCACAATAATTTAGAAACACAGGTATTGGACTTTCAATGAGACTCCATGTGTTTCTGGTTTCCTTAAGAATCTCATTTGTATTACTGTTGAAGCTGTTGGATAAAGCTGAAAACCTTAGTGAGGCTGAGAATATAAACTTGATTAGAACCTTTTTATTGCAAGTTTAGTCTTAACCTGAGATGGATTGAATGAGGATACAACGTCTGAGCTTGTGAGTTGGCAAGCGCGGGTATTGCGTGTTAGACTGAGTCTGGAAAGGGCTTGGTTGGGCCATGGGGAGAGGGCTGTTGGTAGCCTGGGCCACTGCAGCCTGGTCAGGAATGCGATGTGGGGCGAGGGGTCCTTCCAGAGGGAACTCATGTGCTGGCTTGGAAGAGCCTCTGGAGAGCAAGGTGTGAGGCTTATGGGAAACCAGGAGAGGTAGGGAGATTCTCAGGAAGAGTAGCAAGTAGGTTTTCCAAGGAACATGAATGGGGATGTTTATTTTACTTATTTGTGCCCTACTAAAAAGTTGTGGCTGCAGACACCAAAATCTCAGTTTCTATCGTCCAGGAGTAATACACCACCTTAGAAACTGTCTTCAAGAGTATGGAGCAATAATGTTATACTTCATCCATTAGTTCCTTCTCTACATTCTTAGAGAAAAAAAGAAAGAGATAGAAAGGACTGTGGTAATATTAAGTTTGCCTTTTGGAAGTTGATTCTATAACTAACATGTCCAGCCACACTGGAATGAAATATCATAAAAGGTGAAGGACAACATGTGAGATCTCTCAAAGTAGCTGCCCCCAGTATATCTTGTGTTATCTTTAAGTTTCTACGGATTGAATATAGGATGCTTTTAGCATGTGCAGTTATATCTGAAGCATTCTGTAGCTGCATTTTTTTCATAGGCTTTGCCAAAACATCTTACGTAACACCTTGTGGGCACACAGCTCATATTAATTTCCAAGTATGACTGACATGTTATTAATGGTCCTGCAATTCAGGTACTTGCAATCTTCTGTTTCCTTTTTCTTACTTAAAAAATAGTTTTGACCTTTTACTGTACAGACGTACATCACTAAATTACCCCTGTTGCCAGCGGCTGCAGTAGCTCCCAGCTCCATGTCAGGCTGCATGAATCCACCAGAGGCAGTGACTGCCTGTCAGCACCGAGTCCTTGTGTTGCTTTGAAGTAGTTTGATTAACACCACAGTTTGGAAATCCCTGGCTCATTCTCCCTTGGGCAATCTCGTATTAATAATTCTTTGTAGTCAAGGTAACTTACCAGCCATTGTTGGTTAATTATTTATTTAATAACTTTGAAGAAGAATAAGCTAATCTCTGTCAGCCTCTAGCTGTAAGATCTTTATAGAGGCGAATTTAGCATTTTTAACAAGCTAGTAAAGAAAGAAACATTTACATCATGGATTATTAACTTTGTTCTGGCTAAATTAATGAAAATCTTTTTGGAATCATTTTGTTCTCAGTGTCTTTAGTAGCATATCTTGGAAAGTTGTTTTTCAGTGGGTGATCATCCCAGTTTGGCATTCTGACAAGGCTTTTAAAGATCAGGCTGTTCTGCAAGCTCATCCAAAAACTCATCTGTTCTGAATGCTTTGTGGAAATCCAATCTTATTCCATCAACCCACTTGTCAAAATTTTGCTCATGCCCTTATTTCTTGCACGTATAATATACCCAGCTGGGTTTCTGCTTCAACTGGAGAAAAAGCTTTTTAAAGTTTCCTGTCTTGGTCATTTTATTTGAGTTCAGAGGACTACATTTATCTCTTATTCTTCATATATGATTTTCTGTGTCCATCTCTCTTACTTTTTTGTAAGTGGAGAAGAGACGGTCTACAACTTGCTGTATTCCATTGGTGATGAGTATCCTGTGGGTTGGGCCATCAGTGTTGTCAGTATTGCATCTCCCAGAGAGACAATACTGAAACACTTCAGGATTTATAGTTAAATCTACTTAGTCCTAGATAGACCTAATATGTACCCCTGCATGGGATTTGAATGGTGTTTATCGGGATCACTGCTGTTCAACTGTTTAGATTATTTCAAGCATAGTCTCACAGAGTCAGTTTGAATAAATTTTAAAGTATAACCTGTTTGTTTATTTTTTTTTCCCAAAATCTTCCTCTTTAAGTATTAGTTTTGAAGTCTGTCTACAAACTTGATTTTTGATGAAGATCTTTTTTTTTTTTTTTTTTTTAATCCGGTTATTTGTGATGTATTCATAATCTCAAAATCAATTTTTTTCCTGTTTATGTTTTTGAAGAAAGATTTCTCTTTAGAAATGTAATTCCCATTGCAGTTTATTTCTTCCCATATTTACCATTTATATAGTCAATCTATGTGAGATTCTATTTACGTTAAAGCATATTACAGCAACACAGTGTATTTGAAAACACTTAGCATGGTCCAAAATATATAGTAAGATTAAAAAGACAAAAAGAAAATCCCAGAAAACTGTGTCACAAAATTAATGAGGTTATTCCTCACAGGATTCAGAGACCAACCTCTCTGCTGAAGAGCTATTCCGGGCATTGCTTTGACGTATTTGAAGAGAAGATGTTGAGAAATGTGGGAGGGTATTTGTTGAAGCAGCTACTCTTCTCCCTCTGTAAAAATTTCATTCTTCAAAGACTTGACCATCAGATGTCTTTGTAGGCGTCTCTTAGCAGTTGCTCCTAGAGAGCTGTATTTTTATTTATGAACTGTCTTCTCTTCATGAATGACTGCAATTTAACTACTGTAAGTAGAGTTATTTTTTGGAGTTGTGTTTGGCTGCCTAAACTTAAGGTCCAGATCCTGCAGTTTTGTCCAACTAAATAGTCTTACTCTCATCTGACTTATTTACACTGCTGTTATTACACGGTTGTTAAGTGCTACTGGGGGCAGTAAATATTGATTAAGCCTTAATAAAACATAGACTTTTTCCTATAAAGGACTGATGAGCCACATTTTTGTTTTCATTACAAACCTATATTTGCCTGTCTCTTTAGCAAAGTTTAATTTGGACTTTTGGCCAGATGTTCGGCCATGGTGAAACTGTTTTTGAGAACCACATGAATGAAAAGTATCCTTGAACTGACTTTACTGCCCACTGCATGACATGATCGTTCCCTGAAGCCTGGTGACATGTCTTTTATACAAGGTGCATTAGGAGAAGAATTGGTTAAAAATCCCCAAATAACAACAGGTGTCCTCTGGCCATGTGGGAATTTGTGAGCACTATGAAGGCTAGAACCCCAGTTATGTTCTGGAGCGAGCTTTTTCTCTCTGCTCAGATTAACTATTTTGATTGCTGGAGTTCTCTATTAGTAAAATTAGTTCATTGAATTTTTATTCTATGCTCTATCAGGGAGTGGACAATAGTGGCTAGAAGAAAGGGTCAGTACCTCCATTTTTAATTTTTTATTGCCACTGAAACCTAATTTGGACCTATATTTGTTTATAAATGGTGTAGGGTAAAATTATAATCTTATACTCCATTTTGCAATTCCAATATTACCTCTTGTCCTCCTGTCTGACTTTTAGTCGTGTTCAGTTTTCTTTATCAAATATCTCCTCCTAGACTTTCCCTGGACAGTGTTAGATGTGCCAAATTCTTGAGACATTTAGTGAGCAAAGCCAATGCCTGCAGCTAACAAGCTTGAGCATTACGGGGTAATCCAGGCCTTGTATTATTGTTAACATGTTGTTATAAAACATACTGAGTAAGAAACACTCATAATTATGATAAATACTCATAGTAAGTAGCTGAAGGACAGTGAGCATTGAAAGAATAGAAAATGTAGGCAGGGAGAAGTGATGTGAGATGTGTGAATAAGTCAAAAGGGAACAAAAATCAAAAAGGAAAGTAAAGCTGCTTATCAATTAAAAAAAAAAAAAAAAAAAAAAAAAAAGATTTTGAGAGTGCAGTCTTCCAAAGAAGTCTTTGGAAGCACCATTGTTTGAGATACTTAAAACTAGAATGGGCAAAGCCCTAATTCATACACCAGTTAGATTCCTTACTGTCAGAAGACTTGAATAAATATACAATTGAGTTCTGTTTTTCTGTGATTTTACGAAAATTTTATTCAGGCTTTTATTTGCCTCAGTGATAATAAGTAGCCCTTTGGAAGTTTGAAGCTAACATTTGAGTCTTTAATGAATGTTTGCTTTTTGACTCTGGTTTTCTCATGAATGCCAGACTGCTGGCTGCAATTTTGTTCTCCATGAGCAGCGAAGCATGTATTTAAAACACAGGCATTCATGCAAAGTCTCACAATGGGCTCTGCAAACTAATTTAAGAAAATTAAATAGGTCAGATTTTCAGTCTCTCCACTCTAACAATATCCTTGTTAGCATGGCCTTATACCATAAGTAAACCATCTTGATCTTCATTTCTGGTAGGATGCATCCTGTCATTAGAGACACGAGTGCGGAGCTGCGTTTGGCAGCACTTGAACTCTGAAAGTTGAAACACGTTTTTAGGGAGTGCTGGTGCGTGCACACGCAAGCACGGTAACATCACTCCCTAGGCAGCAAGCATTGCTGCTGCTGGCAGGCTGTGCTCGGTCTGAGCTCCTCTTCCATCTGCTTCATCCTTGGAGCTGACTGCTGCAGCCACTCACAAGGTGGTTTTGGCAACAGCAGGGTACAGATGCCCAGCTTGGGAATGAGCTTTTGAAGCATGTGGCATCTTGTGTCAGCTTGTCTTCCCAACTGGCCTCTTCAGCGGTCTTGTCTGGATAGACTTCTGGCTCTGCTGGCAACTCAGAACATGGGGTCAGTCTTTGTGGCTTTTTGGTCTCCCCAGAAGAGCACTTGTCTCTGATTAGTGCCTCCAAAGGAGCTAAAAGCTATCTTCATATAGAACTTTAAAAGTAAATCACTCTGGAAAATCTCATGGAATTCACATAAAACCCTCTATAACATGACATTTAACAATGTGATAGGGAGAGATTTCCATTCTTGTTTAAAATTTTTCTGCTCTACTAGTTTATGGTGGGGTTTTTCTTCATTGAGAAATAAAGGTTCATAAAGTCTGGAATGATTTGCAGAAGATATACCAGAACATGCCTAAAATTACTCATGTACAAGGCATACTCTTTAATATATTCGTGAAACAGTTACTATCATCCTTACAGCAGATAGATCAAAAACCATTTCAGTCAATACCTCCAGCTCTTACAGTTCTCTGCAATAAATGAAAGAGGAGCTGAAAATTATTGTTTCTTCCTCCAAACAGGACAAAAATTAAACACTTTGTTCTAATCTAGTAATTTTTGGTTATATGAAGGGGAATCCTTGCAGGCAGATACATGTTCTTTCCTCCTCTGTACCCCCTGTGAATATATAAATAGGGGAAATAAATGCATCAGAGCTTGGCAAATCCAAAATAGCCAAGTACATTGCCTTGTTTTTACTTCTCTCTTGTTTTGCTACCAATTCTGAATGCTACCTGAAGACTAATTTTTCAATTCACTGTTTTCTCATGCCTCTGACAGCACTGATGGAAAAAGAGTATAGTTGATCCCTCAGGTATCTCTCAAATTCCCTTTCAGTGGTCATGTTTATATTCAGAGGGAGTTTGATAGTTAGCTGAAAATTAAAATATATGCGCAGTTGCTGTAACAAGTGCATACAGCCATTGTCCACTGAACCCCTTTTCTTTTCACAGCACTGCTATTCTGGACATTACAGAATTACACTACTCATGTTGCAAATACAATCTAATACATATTCTGAGATTTTGCTGTATTAAAATGAATATAATAGAAAATAAAGGAAATTATTATAGTCTTGTGTTTATTGTGAGTTCAAGCCAGAATTTCTGTGTCTCGTTTTAGGTAACTTTTTTCTACAAAAAAATACATACTTAGTAATGCATTCAGGTAGAAAGTGAATATTATTTTGAGAAGAGGGAACATATTTGAGGCATTTAAGTATTCTTACTTTTCTACTGCATAAATAAATTAGAAAAATGAAGACAAAAGTATACTTATTGGTAATTTCATAATATATTTTATTGTAGGTATTGAAGGAATTGACTGTTCAGCAACACACGCAACAGCACTACTCAGGCATCAGATTAGATAACATAATTCTGTTTTCTAGCATAAAGCTAGTTCCTGTTTGGGATTAGGCAAAGTGGCTCTTCAGTGAGTAGAAGGTAAAATGTAGTAATGTATGCATACATTTTTACTGGAGTAAATACTCAGAGTATGATTATATGAAAAAAAAAGGAATTTTGCTGATTAAAAAGTACCATATACTCACGTTTTGGATGAGTCTTTCAGTAAAGAGAACTGGAATGGCAGAATATCAGTAAGTGTGTACATCAGGACATGAAGTATATTCTTTCCATGGCAAAAAGTAACTTGCTGTGTTCTTGGCAACATTTTCTTGTGCCTTGGTACATATCTCCAGATGTATGACAGAAGGACACAAGTACTGGAAAACTCTTGTGCAGACCCTTTCTTGGTGTCACTCAGTTTATATCATCCTTTCAGAAGAAAATAATGAAACAATAGTGATACGAAATCCATTATGGGTCTAACTGAACTATGAGGATTAGGTTGGCAGACATGGTATTATTTTGTTTTGCTCTACAGCATAAGATAATTTGAGTTGGATGAATGGTCATGTAGGCTAAGATCCTCAAAAGCAGTTCTCTCAAGCTTTCAGTCCATTATACATGCAGAACTGTGGTGGCTTCTCTAAGAGCATAAAAAGTAGTAAGAGAAGAAATGCAGTGTAGCCAAGTATATCTTATATTTTGCCTGAGAGCTGTCTGCTAGAAAACCAAGCAAATTGTTTTTGGGAACAAGGCTGCAGTTTTCCAGAACTGAAAAAGAGCAGTGCCAAACTGAGAAAATGCAAAGCATTTCTGAATTGTGGCAGTTCCAAGGCAACAGACAATGAGTTGTCAGTTAAAAGTGAGGGTGTAAAATCAAATTAAATAGGGAGCAAAGAGGATCAGGATGGCACATAAGAAATGGCATTTTTCCATATGCTTGTAAAATCTAGTTCTAAGCAAGTGGGTTTTGTGGTGTGTGGTTTGGGATGGTTTCTTTTGTGGGTTTGGGGTTTTGGTTTTTGAGTGGGTTTTTTGTTTAGGTTTTTTTTTTTTTTTTTTTGTGGAGAGTAGCTTAGCACAGGAGAGAAGTGCCCTGTTGAATAGTAAGAATTCACCTGGTAGCTTTATTTAAAAGTTGTTTGGAAAACATTTGCAGAGTAGAGAGACAAATGCAACTAAGCAGAAGAGACTGAGTTGTTGGACTCTTATTAACTCTTCAACTACTTACTTTTCTTAAAAGGAGAGGAAATCTGCAAATTAGCTGCTTTGGAAGCTCTTTTAAAAGGAAAAGGCTTAACTAGATAAAATAGCAAATAGGAATGTGGACTGCTTGTTCAGGAAGGCTGGAAAGAAAAGAAGGGAAAGAAGATGGCAATGCCAGATGGGGGAGAGATTCTCAGTGATACTATCTCATACATTTTGCATTATTTTTGCATTAAGATCCCTTTTTATGTTTAATCACTTAAACGTGTGTATCCTCAACCTCTTTTTTGTGTATTTTCTTATTTTGATTCTTTAAAAATTGATTTTTGCTTATGTATTTTCTGTTCAGATTTACTTATACTAGAAGATTTTTCAAAGTGCTTAGGTTCTCAGTTTATGTCAAACTCCAGATTATGCAACATGAAACATTTTGTTCTGAAGATCAGGATCTTAAGGTATCAGAAGTTTATTTGGAGCCAATGATGCAACAGTAATATATGTTTAAGCTTTCACAGCCGAGTGACACTTTTATAGGAAGTATGCAGCTGCATTAACTTCCACATCTAGCCCTTTCCTCATCTCCAGGCACCATTTTCTATGGTGAATTAGAGAAATCCAAAAGATAAATGGCAAATCCACGGATCATCGTAAGAAAAGCCTTCAGCTAGGAGAATATCTTTTTAATAATAATAATAAAAAAAAAAAAGCTGTATCTGGCAACTGATGCTAACTGGAGATTTGAGTTTAGTAAAGAGCAAATGAATACCCATGAATCTGTGCATAGGTTTGAAAAAGAGTGCATGTGAACTCTGGAAACAGGTGGAGAGTATTGAATTTTTTTTTTTAAATAATTTCTCTCAGCCAACTTCCACTGCTAAAGCTTTACCACTTGTGGTGGGCACCGCTGCATATTAGAGATCTGATCTTGTATTGCTGGCCATGTCTTGGTTTGAAAAATTAAATGCATAGTTGAGCATTACTACTGTGGTGTTCTTACTAGAGCCTCTGTCATCAATTATTGTTTTCTTTCTCTCTCATGTAAATTGAAGAATAAGGAGGCTAAAATCAATAGTTCCAGAGGAAGTAGAATAGTAACCAGTCTCCTGTCTATTTGGTGGAGTGAAATGATAAGACCAAAATAATACTGTCATTTCTTCTCTCTCTGTTCTAAAGAGTTGCAATAGTATTATATTTTGCTGTGCCAGAAATTTCCAAGGAGATTGCTCAAATGAACAAAAAGAACAGCTTAATTCCGTTCTCTTTCTCCTTGCTGAAAGGACTGACAAAGTGGCAATCCTTGTCTTTCATTGATAGATAGCTGTACTACTTCTTTAGCTTGAGTTTGTATTTGAACTCCGATCTCTTACGTCTTTACAGCACTGCATTGCAGTAGTGTAGGTAGTGCACAAGCAATGCAAAAGTACCAGAGTCTCTTGGCCAGAAAGGCCCAGGCACCAAGCAGGAAAGAAGTGGGTTTTTGTCTGAATTGCCTTGACTGTTGAACACACTAAACATATCCAGCTTTTAGTTTTTACTTACATCTTGTTTTGTTTCGTTTTGTTCGCTTGCTTGTTTTTACAGTTTCTTCAAAAGGATGCTCAAATAAACAAAGAGGCTCATTCTTCTTACTGTTTGCAGGTTTCCAACCTGTACCTGTACGACAGTGTGCTGATGCTGGCCAATGCTTTCCACAGAAAACTGGAGGACAGGAAATGGCACAGCATGGCAAGTCTGAACTGCATGAGGAAATCCACCAAACCTTGGAATGGAGGACGATCCATGCTAGAGACTATTAAGAAGGTGAGAATGGACAAACCACAGTTGTGTGAGCAATTGAAAGAGTTGCTTCATTTCTACTCAAGATTAGCTTTTTAAGAGGTTTTTGACCTCTATTCAACTTTTCTTTGATTTATTACAAGAAAGTGATTTACAACTACCAGGAGTGATCTACAGCTATTAAACAAGCAAATGATTTATTACAAACAAATTACACACTGCAATGTTACTCCAGTGGTGTGTGTTCTACTTCTGTTGTTCTCATAGCTACCTTTTGTGGATGTAGTATGATTAGGAATAGTAATACAAATTGATGTGTGCATGCATCAGAATAATTTCCCCACAAGGATTTAAGGAGCTTGAGGGGCCAACCAACGATAAGGTTTAGGACTTATGTTCCGTTTGCTACAGCTCAACTAGCTTTGTAAGTTAACTAAGCGTTGGTAAGTATCTATTTGTAGCCCAGAGCAAAAGGCTTCTGATTTAGCTAAGTAGTCACTAACAGTTACACTGTCTTGCAGCATGTTGAATTACTCAAATATGGACAGTACTGTGGCTTTGCAGATGCGTGGTAACTTCTTGTATGAAAGTTATTTGATCACAAATACTAGTGAAAAAAATAATCATTTTTTTACTATACTACCTTCAGCAATTATTTGGAAAAAAACCCTGTTGCAATTTGATCAAGTGTTATGTTATGTTCTGACCAGTCCTAATGATGCCATCCTTTGTTGCTAAATCAATTCAAACTTTAGTGTTATTTCAAGCTCCTTTGCTACAGACCCAAAATCAAACTTTGTGATACTTCACAGAGAGATTTTAATAATATTTAAAATTGTGTCTTTTCTTCATGCCTCTCATGGAAGCACAGCAGGCACACTCTTTCTTTTGTATTTGGAGTTCATGCCTTTGCATTCAGCCCCAGAACTGAGCCTGCTGCCCTTAGTTACATGGAAAGAGCTGTTGTCTCATGGTCCACCAAGGTCCTCCTCCTTTTCTTTGGGGTCTGTCTTTGTGAACGATGAAGACCTGATGGAATTTTTTTCCGCAGTATCCAGTTGGTTGTGTTAGCATTAAAGTAATTTTCTCCAAAGAAAAAGAAAAAAAAAAGTCTTCTGTCTGGTACTATGTTTGAGCTGTTGAAGAACATATAATTGTCACATTTAAGTTCACTGCAAACATCATTTTCAAAGCAGATTTGGCATACCTTTAATGAAGAGGAGTGTTTATAAAGGCAAATTTGTTCTAAAATTTGTGAAACTTATTTCCTTAGGGCCATATAACTGGGCTTACTGGTGTAATGGAGTTCAGAGAAGATGGAGCCAACCCCTATGTTCAATTTGAAATACTGGGCACTAGCTACAGCGAAACATTTGGCAAAGATGTGCGGAGGGTAAAGATATGCTATTTCTTTCTCTCTTTTGTTTTTCTCTGAATAATGTACACTCTACTTCAAAGGAGAAAATGTTATTCTTTAAGAATGAATTAGTGCTACACTGCAGAAGAAATTTACTAGAAGAGAAGTATTTTCTAATATCTTACACATTCAAATCTTGAAAGCTAATTTTATAATGATAGACCAGAGTCCAGCAAGTTGTTTCCACATGTGCAGTAATGATGCAGTGACATAACGGTGAACTGTGAACATAGTAGTGAAGACTGCATAATTCTGCTCATACATTTCATTATTAATTAAGATATAATTGATATAACTGGCACTTGTCTTACTAAGGAAGCTAACAGAGAATATAAATTACCTAAACATACAAAGATATTTCACTGTACAGCTGCTGCAAGAATTTTGGAAAAATAAATTTAAAAACTCTAGACAAGATAATTTCCAAAATGTATGATGCTATTTATTGTCAAGTAAAGGATGACCTATCAATGGTAGCTGGTGGAACAAGGACTGAAGGAGGTTAGAAGACAATTAGAGTGGTTCCATGACGTTGCTAACATAAATTATCATGGGCTGAGAAGGCTACCTTGAACATGGTCATGCAGAGGGGATGCTCCAAAAACACCTGAAACTCTCCATTGAACAGTGAAGTTCCAATTGGAACCCAAGCTACAAAATGTCTCTAAACTTGTCAACTGGTTGAAATACAGACATTCCCACTGTATGGTCAATGGGTCCTACATTAAGCAGAACTGAGCAAAGATGATTCCATGAAGAACTAGAATTTGTGACATTTTCTATTTTCATTTGACCATTGGTTTCTGTGTATAGTTTCAGTTCACCTGAAGTACGTGAGCCTAAATGGAAAACCAAGCAAAGAAGTTGTGTTTACATTATCATCTTAAATAGTTAAACCTAAGATTCTTTCAAAGTCTAATTTGGCATGAGGATTCTGGACGTGGAGTCAAAGGCTTGCAGTATCTATTAGAAATTCAACAGAAGGAAGAGAAGTATTTGAAATAGATAAAACTCCAAGACATACAATTGAAAAACTTCTATTGCCAAAAAAGTCTCTGAAGACTTCAGATTGGCTAGGCACCCTCCTGTATTGTAATCACCAGAAAAGGCTATTTCTCAGTCCACTTTCATTTCTAGAAGATTTCTACAGCAAATGAGGAAGTCTAACTTACAAACACTACCTGAATGATGAAAAATTATCTTAGTTTTGGAAAGTGTGTTGTCTGTTTAGTAAAATGGAGTTCATTTAGGATGTCTAGGAAGCAATTCCAGTTCATAAACAGAAGTATGCACCTCACTTTATGCCCAAGTATGCAAAACAGAAGTGTCTGGAGCCATGTGAGATGCTGTGGACTATCCTACTGTATTTCCAGCTGCCCCTACAGAAAAGCATGAGTGTCCTGTCAGTGCTGTGTTATCCCTAGCGGATGGATGCCATGGACTGTTTGAGTTTGGTTCCATTTTGTTACAGAATTCCCAAGTGGCTTTGAGTAAGTCACATAATTGCTTTATGCTTCGATTTACCTTTCAGTAAAATTGGTATGATTACCACTCAGAACAGATTTGAAGCCTGTAAGGGAAGTTACGATGTGCGAGTATACATTATTAGTTTTTTTTCTAATGTACATTTCAAGTATGGCAAGCCATATACAGAAACTCTTATTTCAGTATGTGTAGCACACTGACCAAATTGAGATATAATCCAGATGTGTGAGGTGGAGATAGCTAGGAGATATCAAGGGACCCCAGGGTATAGGAATAGGTAAAATGACAAATACAAAATTGACTAAAATGGCTAAACTTATACGCCACTGATCAGTTTTGATCCATAATGTGCTACTTTGGGATTAGGTAGTTAATATAGGAAGGCTTAACTCTTTGGATGTTAAATGCAGAACATTTTAAGGTTCTCAAAATTAAGAGGTGTATAATTCTAAATGGGTAAAATGCTACTGGCTGTGGAATACTACTCTGAGCTAAAATTAAGTTCTGAAAATGATTCTTTTAGCATAATATAGAGAGTAAAAAGTCAGTTGTATGCTAGAGAAGTCTAGACAAGAACTTGGAAGAGATGATATTTCTTAGAGCAACATTACCATGGGACTACTGATATTCAATTATTTAGACAGCCTGACTTTTTATTTTTGCAGCAGAAATATGTTGCAGCTCAGAATTACTTTTAAAAGCTCAAAGTCATGCTTGTCTCATTTATATTACTTGAGTGAGAGATCAATTCTGATTTATTGTTAGTTGTTTCCGTATCAGCATTTCCTCAGATACAGCTGTGCAGGAACATATTTTTAGTGAAAAACAGACAGTTCTTTCTGCATGTTTTTCTTTTCTTCTGTGTGAGGAGCATCTGTATCTATTAATCCCTACCCTGACCCTACAAAAAAACCTTTGCACTTAGGATCTGTGACAGGGTAGAGCAAAAGAATATAACACTGATTGTTGAGCCTTCGGGAGAATCCAGTCAAAAGCTAGTAGACTTTTAATACTCAACATCCCTTAGAAAATTACTCAGGGATCATTTCCACCAGAAAGAATCCTAGGAGGATGTCCAAGACAGTTACCCAAATCTGGCAGGAATTTTCAGGGCCTTTCTGTAGAGGCATATTGCCTCTTCCCAGTTGTCCTGAGATCTGATCATTCTGCAGACAATTGTTCCTTCCACTAGCTGTGATTGAGTTATGAGTACAAGTAAATATATGTACTTGCTCTCTTAGTATACCTTCTCCTTTATTCCTCAAGTCTAACACCATATTTTTGTGGTAAAGGCTGATAGTGGCTTTTGTGTACTTTCTGTGTATGTTTTCTTTTTCCTTTGTTTGGGAGTACTTTAGTGAAAGGGAAACTTCAGAAAATGTTCTAATTTCTTTGGTTTAAACATAGAAGAACAGTGTATGTCCTTTAAGGTATACTACCTTGCTTTACAAAAGGCTCAGGTGATTGCCTTCTATTCATTGTGTGCATGTGGAGGTTGCAAAAGCATGGTGTATTCATGCTTAAAAAAAGAGATCAGTGTGGTGACTTATCAGGGCACTTGAAAGTTGAAGAATAAGATTGTCAGAGAAACTGAAAAGGCTTAAATTCCTAGTGCTAGACGATTGCCAGTTTGATTTATGGTCGTACTGTCAGTAAACACCTTTAAAAATAGCAACCTGAGTATCTGTGTATTTTTTTTCTTAAAAAAAAAAAAAGAAAGAAAAATAACTGGATATAAAGACATAAAGGAACTGTAAAAAGTATAAAACATAACAGAATTAGCAAAAAATAGAAAAGTAAGGAACTTTAATAGCTGCTGCCACACTAATGTTTTCAACTGAATGAAATTTGAGTGCAAGAAAGAATGAAAGAAGCACAGAGGAAGTATAAGTTGGAAAAACAAGAAAAAGTGGTATAAAGTGTTCAGGTGAAGTGTATGGAGCAGAAGGAATGAGAATGATAGCCTGTTATGTTCAAAACCCTTTGAGACTTTTGGGATTTGCATTTGTAGTAGATTAAAAAAACTTTCTTCTCATTTCACCTCTTATGTCCACCCCCCGTGCTAAGGGTGTGTACATCAAATTCTGCACCAGCCTTAATTGCTGGGTTACTCACCATTGAATGGTCTTCCTCTGAATTTGGACTTACCTGACTTGCTTCTTTTTTTTCCTCTTTTAAATTCTTAATTAGTCATCTTTTATGAATTTTATTATTTTTTTTTACCTACATGGATCCGTAAAGACTCTCTTGTATGTTTACATTTTTATGTCTTCTATCTTAAGCTTCCTGAGCCTTTGGTTCATTCCCAGCACTGGCAGTGGCTGGGGGTAATCGTTAAATTGTTTTGTTTCATTGGCTTACTGTCCCTGTCTGTAGCATGGAGTTGAGGGTACTTGTCTGCTTTGTACAAAGTTTTGAAGTCTGATAGAAAAAAAAAAAAACGGAAACTAGCAAAATCATATAACTGTTAACATTGAGAAATTGAATGATTCATGGTATTAAAAAAAAGTATAGTTCTAATTGTATGAAAGACCATCCCATCAGAGCTTGTTTGGAATTGTCAGTGGAGAATTATGTCCCACTTCTACAGCACAAGAGACATGAAGTGGGAAAAGAGGTCAGGGCTACATTAATTCCCTCCTTATTGACCATCTATACTATTAGTTCTTATTAATGAAAGCCTTGCTGTAACTTTCAGAACATCTGAGCTGGTTCATATTTCTTATGTTTCTGTACTTGGGTAGATTCTGCAGAATATAATAGTTTAATGATACAGCTGTGAGAGCAAAAATAAGGGAGTCAGGACTCCAGGGTGGTATTCCTAGCAACTCACTAACTCACAGTGAGCTCTTCAGGTGTAAACCTATTTGTTCTCTTTTGGCCATGTATTCAAGGAATACCATAACAACTTAACTGCCCTTGTAGGGATGTGATTAGGCTTAGTTAGATAACACTTGTTTCTCTTCATCCTTGTCAGGAAGATCTTCTGTATGTATGAAATTATGTTATTGTTTAGTTTAGTTTATTATAGGGATCATATTTTTTATAAAGCAATCTGCAATTCTTTACCAAGCTGGCTGTAATGAAGGCAGAATTAATGGTTTACACACATGCTGTATTTCATAAGAAACATTCTGTTAAAAATGATGTTTACCATTGGGTATTCATTTCTGTCACTTGGTATGTTTTAAGTTAGATTTTCTTGAAATATCATCTGCTTCATAAACGATCATACTTGTTTCCTCCAGCAGTTCTCAGGCAGATTGCAAAAGCCACTGTAAGTACTTTTGTGATACGTTTCATAGTTGTTGAAACCCCATTTGTTACAGTGCTGTAACTGAGATTGTTAGTTTTAGACAGAACCTCATTATTACCATGATGAGAAATCTTATGCTTCTTATTCACTGCAAAAAGGAACTGTGTTTTTAGGGGTCACAACATACACTACTAAAAGATACATACTGAAGAGAATTATCTTAGGTGATTACTAC